AATTTTATTCATATTTGTAAGACTTGAAAATTAATAATAAGCAAAGCACTCATACATTATTATCATCAATATCCACATTCTATAAAAATGGACATAGAGGACTTTTGGGAAGGAATTTTAATTTTGTTTGTATTTATACGTATTTTGAAAATTACTTTTTATTTCTCAATACTAATTTTTATCAAAATTAATTAAAAATATATAAATCTTTTTTTAAGTGAAAACCAGTATGCCTTTTGCTACATAATCGAATGATAATCCTCACCCATCTCATAAGTCCAGCTCCTCTCATCTCAACTTGAAATTAAGGTAAAATTTGTCGCTAAATTATAATCTAATAGTATATATAGTAATTATTTAATAAAATTGAAAGTATAGTGACAAACTTTAATAAAATTGCAATACAATCCAAAATCTTAAAAAAAATTTGAAACACAGTGGGAAAATTCAATATTAACTCTTAGTACAATATCGAATTTGACCTCAATCCAAATGACATAACATATATATATATATATAATTATCTTTTTTCTAAAATTTTCAACAAATCACTAGTAATGATATTATGTAAATTGACTATAAATAGTACTAAAAGTAAAAAAAGAAAAATTTCCGTTCCATATTAAAATTGTATGTGTCAATACATTTATTATATTAACCTTACAGTAGGAATAATAAGTGTTTTGAACCCTAATTGAAGGACAATTATTTGTATATGTCCACTAGAAACCAGACAAAGGCATTGAGATAAAGAAACAGTCGAGCAATGTTAGGTTAAGTGTCACTCAAATAAGTTTCATCTCCATGCAACTTGTCTCCCTCTTCTTCTCTCCCATCATTCTCTAGGGTTTTAGCAAAACTCCATCCCCAAGACGCCAGAAAATCATTTCACCTACAAGGAATTGCACCCTTTGGAGTTACATTGGGGTTGGTCTACCTTGGACAATAATATGGGTCAGAATTGATGGCTGTTTTTTGGAAAGAGATCACATTATCTCTTTGATGGTTATTTACTTGTTTTTAGGGTTTCAAAGGTGTTGAAAACAAGATCAGAATCCTAAGTTATTGATAGAGTTTTTAATTTTTTTTATGAGATTGCATCACAATCATAATTGAACAATATTTTTTTGTTAACCAAGATTTGATCTTTGTAAAAAATAATCTAAAAGTAAAATCTTGAATGCACCAAACTGATATAGGAATTACACCCTTAAGATCGTCTGAGAATGAAATTATGCATAAAAAAACCTAAAAATAACTTTGATCATATTATCAAAAAAAATTAAACAACCTTTCAGTATATATAAAAGAAACTCAGGAAACAAATCAAATCAATAAATCAATAAACTGGCACATCACTTGATAAAATTTAACATAAAGTTGGACTTAATAATTGAACCTAAGATCTCATAGATTCAAAAAATCCTACTTATCATTGAGACAAAATCACCTTTAATTTTTTTAGAGTATTGAAAATGGAAGAAAAACTGTATGATTGGGTCCAAAGCAACATATATCACTTGGGAGTTTCCACTGTCTGGTACTGGTGGAAGGAATATGCCATTTCTTTTAGCAAATATAGGGAAAGGAAAAAAAGTGCTTCTTTTTCTGTTTTTTTGCATTTCATTGCTCTTCGGTTTTGTTTATTTGCTAGTTGAATTTATATACATAATTTGATTTAGGGTTAGCACTTAGTGTTTTGGCTACATTTTGAACAGAATTATTTCTTTTCTCTTTTAAAGGTCCGACAAGAACTAAATCAATGGCCCAAGTCCCAAGACCAAACCCTCTCATGCCACATTTGGGCTTATGATTAGGGATGGCAACGGGTCGGGGTGAGGTGGGTTTTTGCTCGCCCCGAACCCGACCCGATTTTAAGTATACAATACCCGAACCCGATCCGACCCGATATTATATAAAATCAAATCCGACCCGAAATTAATAAAATATTATTTTAAATAAAAATATAAAATTAAATATATATAAAAAATATATATAATTAAATATAAAATTAAAAAATAATTTTTTTATATATATCAGGTCGGGTTTGCTTAAAACCCGACCCCGACCCGAACCCTGACCCGAACCCGAAATTTTTTTTACTTTACCCGACCCTACCCGATCCGATACCCGATTTTCAAAAAAAAAAACCGACCCTAAAGGGTCAGGTCGGGTCGAAACCCGACGGGTTCGAGTGATTTTGCCCTCCCTACTTATAATGGAAATTTTAGCTGGCAGTGGATAAGGCTTTTTTGTTTCTATTTTTTTCTTTAAATTTCTTCATTAATTTAAAAAACAAAAAATAAGGGTCAAATTGTACTAAAGGTCTCCATATTATACAAAGTCTTTATATTATTTTGATTTAATAATTTTAATCTAATTACTAACTCTATTAATATTTTGTTATTAAAAATGCTAACATAACATTGATTTGATGAAGTGAATGATAACTTTATTGATGTGATAACTTAAACAAAAAAAACTTATTATTAAATTATACAAATGATCTCTGTACTTACATGTAATTTAAAAATTAGGTTTTATATTCTTATGAAGTTTAAAATTTAATCCTTCCAGCATAAAAATTCAATATTTTGAGTTTTTCTTATAATTTTATAATTTTTTAAAATATTAAATTTATTTATTTGATATTTTAATATTTTAATATTATTTTTTGAAAGTTTTGTATTTTTCAAATTTTAACATTTTTATTTAAAAAAATATTTAATTTTATTGTTTTTAATATTTTTAGAATTTTTATAAAATTTTTCATAGTTTTTAATTTTTATGATTTTTAGAAAATTTTTATGATATTTTGTGTTTTTAAAAAAAGTTTATAAATTTCTAAAAAATTTTACATAATTTTTGTATCTTATTCAATTAAAGAATAAATTGAAATAAGAAAATTCTCGTACTTCATTATTAAATATTGCCTCACTGGTCACCATATACGAAAAAGACTGGCCCCTCCCTGTGACAATGGCATTTTCTTCTTGGTTTTTTCAAGTCCATAAACAGTTTTCCTTGGAAAAGTAAGCTTTCAAAGAATCAAGACTGTGCTGGAAAGTCCTGGATTTGCCCAAAACTGTGCCTTACCCACCATCACTGTTCACTAATATGAACTGAAAGACTTATAAAAGGATTTGGAATTATTTCTTTTTGATCATTAGGAGGCCTCTATTTGTCTTGCTCTATTTGTTTTTTTTTTTTTTTTTTGGCATTTTACTGATTAAAAGTAGAACATTTCGTAGATTTGCTAAGATATCTCTGGCCCTACTTAATGGAGCTTAATCACTTGCTTCATCACTCTAGTGGAAGTCTAAATGGTTCCATTTATCTCTTATTTTTCTTTATTTATTTTTACTTTTTTCCTTTTTTTAAATAATAAATGATAATTTTTTTTCCTTTAAAATTGAAAGTAAAGATAATTACAGGATCGATTTCCCTAATAATATTCGCAATAAAGGATAATAATCAATGCTTAAAACTCAAAGCATCCTCTTAACTCTCATGAAACTATAGTTTATTGTTTCAGTAACCTTGCTTATGCTTCAATGGATCAATGGTAATGATCACTGTCATGAGCTTCCTTCAGTAATTAATGTCATCAAGAGAAAAAAAAAAGCATATTTTTTAAAAAATTTCAGGAGGGTAAGAGAGGATTTTTCAAGTTAATGGAAGTCAAAAATATATTTTCAACCAAATCTCAAAAGGGTCTTCGTGTTTAAAAATATTTTTCTGATTCATACTCTTTTGTGGTTGGGATTTTAGAGATTTGATCCAATATTTCTCTTGCTAAAATGAAATTGGTAATTATCGAAACAAAATTTTTTTAAAAAAATTATAGCATCCGAAGTAAAGCCACGGGCAAACTTGAATCTTAGCCTACTAGCTTGTTTAATTACTATAATCTTGGTAAGTCAAATTTGGGTTATGACTTTTTCTTTTGCCAGAGTTTTATGACTCGATCTCCATTTATGTTATCCATGCAACAAAATAGACCGAGTTTTTCAATCTCAAATCACTACTATAATTAATAATTTTAAACTTTTTTTACTTAAAATAATCAGATCAAATTTTGTTAATTAAAACCAAGAGTTCAATAATTTATTAATAAATCACATAAATATTGACAATAATTTTAATCTTACAAAATGAGTTTGACATGAGCAAACTCAAAATACATTATTTTATTTTTATTAAAATTTTAAATTATATTAATTTTATATATTTTTATATTATATTATCGTGTCTATTTAAAATTAGCGTGAGCTAAATAATAGCTGAATAATATGAAGCATTGTGCAGTGATTGTTACCTTTTTGATAAGTTAAAACCAAATATACAAAACTCTCAACTTTCTTTCGGCTTTGTTCAATTGCATCCAAAGAAAGACAGAAAAATTGAGGTAAAGTTGGAACATTGTGTTTTAACTAGCATTCTGCTCTCCACCTCAACAATGCATTCGTCAATGTTAGGCTTTTGCTTATGTCGAAACAATGTCTCCCACCAACTCTATTTTGGGGTCTGGCCTTTGTGTAAAACAAAGAATGAAGGGCCAAGAATTTGTTATTTCCTTTATATTAATCAAGTTGGGGTCTTTTGCTTCTTTTGTTCCCGTCTTTAAGGGCTTGGCTCCAACCAATTCAGTGCGCACCTAAACATTTGCACTATTTTTTTTTCCTTATAAGGGTGTAAATAACTAAATGTTTGATGATAAGTTCATGAACATATTTAATTTTTATTTTTTTGCTAAACTTAATAAATTATTATAAATAATATTTTAAAATTCGTTAATTAAATGAATAAATCATAACTATAATAAAATTTATTTATATTTGATTTGTTTGTGAAAACTGATAAAATATTTAATAAACAGTTCGCTGATATATTCAGTGGTACATTGCCATTCAAAGTCAAGATATTAAACTTAGGCTTGTCGATCGATTCATAACCTTTCCAACACAACCAATATGCATTCAAACTCCCTTTACTTGTAAGAGTATACTTTGGATTTGTCAATGTTACGGTCGAAATGCCACTCATGGTGACCTAGTTGAACTGAAAGAAGCTATAGGTATTATTGCAGGTTAATCCATTGGAGAACCGGAGACTCAACTAACATACAGAACTTTACATAGATTTCTATTTGTTTATTAAATTTAATAAATAATTATAAATAATATTTTATATTTTATTAATTAAACAAACAGATCCTGAACATAATCATATTCATACATATTCAATTCATTTCCTCTATCCTTTAATTGATGGATCGCTTGAAGAAATTTATCAATGTTGAATATGAAACCTAATAACCCGACCTGTTGTTGAACCGATCAAAGGTCTGATTTTGTATCAATCCCAAATCACAAATTTATTAGTTGAAGACTTTAAATTTAGTATTAAATACATATTAAATTTTGAAACACATTAAAGAAAAAATTACTTAGACTAAGTGATTAAGGCTATGAGATCTTATCACTTAAAAAAAAAATTTTAATAAAATAATAATTTAAAATAATCAAACCTGATTCAAAATGTCAAAATCCAATTTAATAACCGGATCAATCCAATCGGACCGGTAAGTTGACAGGTTTGATAATTGATATCCGAACAGTTTTTTCATTTTTCAGAACTGGATGGACCACCGGTTCAATCGGCTGGGACTCAACACTGCTTCTTTTACTAAAAAACTACTTGTTTTAAGTGCACAAATGAGAGAAATAAAGGGATAAAAGAACATCTCTCATTATTTAATCCAACTTAGAAATCAAAAGACAAGATAAAGAAAGTTTTTTTTTATAAAGGAGGCCATAGTTTGAAAATAGAAAAAAGAAATTGTAAATGATGAGATTTGAATTTTAAAACCGTTAAATGACATCTTTTAAGGATAATTGCATGAATTAATTAAACTAAATCTCAAATTCAATCATAAAAAAGTTCTTGGAAAGAAAGTTCTTCAAAAATACAAAAAACTTGGCACCCCTTAGAATTTCAATCATAAGAGGAATAGACTGTAGTGAAACTGAACCTATAAATTGGAGTTAAGAGTCTGAATGACATGAATGAATATAAAGAATTTTCTTAAATGATTTTGCCCTCCCTAATGAACACAATCCACATAAATTGGTGCACCTGGAGCAGAGAAAATACTAACCTGCCTATTTTACAGTACATACGCTGGCAAGATTGAAGAAGTTGAAAATTTCAAAGAGAATTCAAAGAAATCTTGCTCTCTTGATTTCAAATCTCACCGGTTCCAAGAGCTTGCCTTGAGGTATCACCAGAAGCCCACGCTTGATAGTCTTTCACAAGCTGCACCAGCAATGAAAGTATATAAGAACTATGTCTACCACCAGCTGCACCGAGACAAATATATATACCACCATACCAGACTATGGCTGCCAAATGGCTAAATAATATTTGCTTTATCCGTTCCAAAAAAAAACTAACTGGGGCTACCATCAATGAGTTTTAATATAACTTATCTGAGAAAAAACTCAAACTGCCCAAAATGTCAATCTGCCCACAGAGTAAATTTGTGTATCCACATTCCACTTCATGTAGGCCAATTACATTGCAACTAAATTTGTGATTTCCATCTTCCTCACTTTTCACCCATAATTCCTAGGCAATAATGTGATTTTTTAGATCTACGATATATTATATCTCTTGAAAAATTCTTGATAATGATAAGAAAACTTAGGGAGATTAAAAGAAGTGAATGAAGTTCTCCATATCAAAGCTAAGGCATGGTCTTTCAAATTTAATAAGCATGAAATCACTCGGGATTTGTAAGACCTTATGGAATACATACAAAATAACATGGTAGGATCTGACCACAATTTAAGTGCAGGGGTAGAAAACAAAATCATAAACTAGCCTGCTTTTTCTTAACTACCGCAAAAGAAATTTAATATTCTTCAAACCTGTGCCATAAAGCGGGGCAGCATTAGCCTAAGTATTTGCTCAAGGACTTGGGTCCCAGTTGATTCAATCAATCCCAATGGAATTGGTCTAAACGCAAAAGGAACCTCGATGTTTACCTAGATTAAACAGAACAACACAAATTACAGTAAGAAAGATATGCCCTTCTATGAAATGCTGTGGTGCTATCGAAAAAGAATAATTTGCAAAGGCTACCTCAATAACTGCATCTGATGTAAGTTCTTGAACAAATGAGTTACTTCGATTGGTATCACAAGATATTTTATTCATCATAGAAGCTGCATTTCCATATCAAATCAGTGTCAAAGCACTCCTGAAAGAACCATTGCGTCTTAATTTAGGACTAATGGACTCAAACAGATTATGATGCTAAGGAAGTTATGTCATTTCCTCAGCACATGGTGCAGAACATTGTTAAATGTTCCATAATCACCACCAGTACCCACCCCCACAACCCCAAGCCAATAAAGAAAAAAAATATTATTAGCTATAGAAAATAGTTAATATCCAAGCTTATCAGAAATGTACCACATCCAGGCAGCTGAAACAGTCAAACAAGTAAAAATGAGCCTGATGTATCCAATCAATTTGCAAGGTGGGATTCTAATAACAGAGAAAGCATGGGATCGTGGAAGAAAGAAGAGATTTTATTATGCTAATTATGTCAAATGTAAAATACCTTTCTCAGAATTTTAGATGAATGTTTGTAAGAACAAAGATAGAAGTATTGCAACACACACACACACACACATGCACGCACACATAAAAAGGCTTTTGACAAAGAAAGCGGATAAGGTGATTTCTAATAATTAAAACATTGCATATGAGCCTTTGGAAGTCAGGGACAGAGAAAGAATACAACCTAAAGGTCCATCAAAGTGAAGTCCAAGTGCACAAATGGTGACCAAATGACAAAAGCTAGATGAAAGCTATATACAATGAATAATTAGTGGAAAAGAGGTACGTTAGAACTCAAATACTATGCTTAAAATTTTTGTTTTCGATCATATCAAAATGGCCAATTTCAATTTCCTTCAATCATTTTTTGCTTTAGTAAGAAAAAAATTTAGAGCATGCCAGGGAAAAAATGCCAAAAAGAGATCAAGAGGAACAACATTTTTTATATTTAATAGAAAAAGAGGAACTAGAATCAATATATGATCAGTTGTTAATGAAAAGCAGACAAATGAAATCAAATATTTTGCACCCTAAAAAAATTTCTTGTACAATGGAGTAAGCATAACCACGGTTTGTAGTTCGCATCATGCAATAACTAGTTGCAGAATCTGTTGATTTTGAATTGGGTTAGAATGAAGCTTAAGATGATCAGTTAGCTTCGAAAGAAATTAAAATAAATCAGGGTAAAAGTGGCAGGACACCTACAAGATTCAACTTATCCTATTAAAAGAACATTGGATCAAAATGCATTGCTCCAACACATAACTTTGAGATGCTCAAGTTTCAGAAAATTCTCAGTGCCCTTTTTCTTTCTAAATAATTGTAAGAAAAAGTTTGCACATAGTACTAGCGTGTTCTCTGACTGATACTGCCTCGGCTATGAATCAATTCTATACTTCTTTGATGAACCATGGCTCATAATATATGTACATAGCATCGAAAACACGGAGACAACAAGATTCAACTAAATGACACTAACAATTGAGAACACCTATGTATTTATTCCTGATCAGCCTTAGCACATAATATTAAAAGACTCAAGATGCACTTCCAGTTACAGAAGTCATAAAAGGAACTGAACCAGAATTTGTCCAACTGAAGACCTCTCTAGCACAATCAATTCAACATGTCTCTTTGGTTCTTGCAGATGCAAAATTATCAGGAGATATCATATAATAACATTTTTTTTCTGTATGATAATGCATGTGATAATTTCCAGACAAAAATTCAAAAAAAATAAAATGTCATTGTCAAAACTAAAATATAAATTCTCTACGGTGAAAAAGCCACAGAAAGATGCTTACCATCAAATTTATCATTCTGTGCAACCACAATCGGTGAGCCCTCCAGCTGCAACCAGTGGACCGAACATTATAACATTATCAAAATCCACCAACTATCTACAAACATCCACAACATCAACATAATTCTCTCCTTCCATATCCAAAGAGTTTTTCGAAGCACTGTGCCCTAAGGACCCTAAGGACACTGGTTAAGAACTTAAGATCCTACTTCAAGAAATGTTATATGTTCAATATGCAAAAAAGTTACCAATTGAATTTGAAAGCAACTAGATGATTAAAAACCAACATAAAATAAAAATTATTTTTCAACCAGTTTAACTTTACAAGCATGTTAACTAATGACTAGGGACGGCAACGAGTAACCTAGAAACGGGTACTACCCGATCTGATTAAGTACATTAGGGTATCCTATAATCGTGTTTGAGTACTAAAATTACTACCCGTCACGGGTTCGGGTAGTGATCTTAGGGTACCCACTACTCTAACCCGATTGTACATAAAAAAAAAAAATCAGATATTTATCATGTTTGGGTATCTTGATAAATAATCAGGTTCGTGAATGCGTAACCAAAAATAGTGGGTACCTTATCCATCGCCATCCCTGGTCCTAATCCTAGACAAACTCTTCCTCAAACCGTTATATGAGAAACTGAACAAATAATGTAATGAAACTTTGAAGTTACCTTACAAGACAAGAGCTTAATACAGCACCCATTAGGCTGTTCTTCAACTCTAACAAGCAAAACAGGGCAGACCTCAAAATTGAAAAACTTAAACCTATATACATAACACCTGAATGTATTATCATCAATCCTCTCTATCCTCTCTGCGTCCAGCACCGAGTATTGGCTCGCCGGTAAGCTCATATACTCAACTGCACCATCAAAACAAAATCCCAATTAAGATTTCATTAGATTGTTTCTTTTGCTACTTACCTTTTGCTAATAAAAACAAAAACAAACAACACTAAACCGAATTAAAAATTAAAAAAAATAAAAATTGCATGAACCAACTTATCTAAGCTCTTGTTCTTTCTTTTATAATTAAATGCATAAATATAATCTCATAGACTTCAAGATAAACAGCAACAAACAAGTAAAAAGAAACATAAAAGGGAACTATTAATAAAAAAATATAATAATTCAAACTTTTTTTTGTTCTCTAACATTACTTAGAGGGCGTTTCAACTGCCGAACCGAAACGGACTCCTTTCGACGCCCAACGAAACGGGCTTTCGGGGTGGAGTTGGTGACAGAGGCCTGAACGCAAAACAATTTAACCGACGCCGAGCTCAAAGGAAGCGGATTTTTCGAGATTTTAAAGGCCTTTTCTGAAGGGAACGTAAGAGAGGTTAGCCGAGATGAAGTGAATGAAGATGATCCTAAAGCCATGTCCGAAGTAGAGAGCAGAGATTTTGAGAAGAAGCGTTTGTGGACAGTGAAATTTTTAGGGATAAGAGACTTGCTAGCGTGGTGCCGTGATCGTGTAACGCTAAACATCGGCTCACGTTAGAGTCAGTCACGTGCTTCGAATCTGACTCCGCTAAAATGCGCCTAGAGAGAAAGGATTTTCCCAAAAAAAAAAAGGGAAAACCTAAATCAGTCAAATACTGGCAGTGAACACTACAATGCGATCAATTTGTCGTGCGGTCGGGTGAGGTATCTGCTTACTAGCCATTGGATGTGACAATTTTATTATAACCGTTGGATCAAAAAGGTTGTGAGGTTGAATAAAACTAGTAAAGGTTGAAAGTTCTTTAATTTTTCCAAAGCATATTATACTACATAATAATTTTAACCATGATATAATAATATAATAAAAAAATATATTTCTTCCGTCTTAAATTATTTAGATGATATTAATTTTTATAAAATTTAAAAATTTTAATAATTTTAAATGTTAAAAATAAAAAATATATAAAAATAATTTTAAATTAAAAAATAAACATTTTAAATATTTAAAAAATACATAATTTTACCACATCTCAAAAATAAAAAAATAAATGAAATATAAATAAAAGATAAAAAATCATATAATTTAATACTTTTAATAAAAATTATATATAAATTTATAAAAATAAAATATATTTTATATTTAATATATTTATATTAATTATAATATAATATATATTTGATACAAAATAAATAAAATAAATATATAAATTATTATATCTATCCATATTAAAAAATCAATGTAATAAATTCTTCAAAAACTGCCATATGGTTAGATCAATTTTCTTTGTCGTTTTTTCCATACATTTTTTAGTCAAGTAAAACCCTTGTTTTTTTTTTAATTAACTTTATACTATTGAATATGTTTAAATTTTTTTTAAAATATCGATTAATTTATCAATTTAATTATTAATTTTAAAAATTAGAAATGAATAAAATTAATTAATTAATTTTTTATTTAATAAAAATTATCGAATCAAACTGATTTAATTGAATTAAGTCAATTTTGATCGATCAAGTTAATTCAAACCAACCTATACTCATCTTTTAAAATTAAATATTATTATTTTTCACAAAACATATGCGGTTTTCTTGCTTTAAATAAAATAAAAATAAAATAAAATAAAGGCGAACTAACCAAAGCCAGCGAGCCATGGATGGATAACGAGAAAAAGAAAAAAAAAATCAGAAACCTTCAGCTCAGACAGAAGAAGAAGAATTAACAAGCTGCGAACTGATAAGAAAAAAAAAAGGAAATTTAGAAATAAGGTATTAATCTCTTCTTTTAATTCTTTGTTTGACAATGGGGAAATTTTTTATTACTTTCATTTTTTTGTCTACTTATTTCTGTAGTGTTATTGTTAGTAATGTTGTTTTTATTTTGTTTTTTGGTTTTGGTTTAGAAGAGGACAGAAGAAGAGAGAAATGGAGTCGACGGAGTCGTCTTACATGTCATCACCAGAGGCGGCGAGGAAGAGATCTCCACCGCCACCTAAATCGCCGACTTCTGGTAATTTTTTATCTGATCTTCTTTTTTTCCGGTCAGGCTTTTCATGTTTGAGTTTTTTTTTTGTTTGTTTTCTGCTTTAGAGTTAATGGCTTAAATTTTGTGTGTTTTTCTTTTTCCTTTTTTTTTTTTTCCTAATGTAAAGATTAATGTGTGAAATTGTTTGAATTTCGAGTTGTTTATTTATTTATTTATTTTAATATAGAATTTGAAACCCTAACCTTAGCATTGTGTGTTGGTGAGAAATGCAAAATGGAGAATGAGAAAAAGAGGAATGTGTTCTGAGTCATTAGCTTATGGTTGAATGCTGCGAAAGGTAAGGGAGTAGAAAGCTGAGAAATCATGGAGTTTGGCGTGGCATTATCTTTTTATCTGCTTTTATTTGTATAGTAACTGAGAAAAGCGGAGTTGACTCCGAGGTGAACAATGGTGTGAGGGCTTTGCTGCGAGTAAGGGTTGTTTCTGTTATGGTTGTTGGTGTTAATTTTTCTTTAAAGTAAAATTGAAAAATTAGATGTGAAATCAAAGAAGATATATCTTTTGAATTGTTTAGTTACAGCAGTTAGCTTGTATGGTAGGCATTAATGAGAATGCTCTTGGAGGTCATAATGTACTTGAATTCAAAAATGGAAAATCTTAAATTATTGTCGTAGTAGATTAGGAGGGAATTGAATTCTTTGACTTTAAGGTTTTATTTTCATGGACTATAAAAGGGGATGCCTAGTAAGGGGAAGAAAAGAAAACTAATGGAATGACTTTTCTTTAATTTTACAGTTGAAGCTCAGATTTAAGACTGTAGTCGTGCCTACTATTGGATTAGGGATGTGCTCATCCAGTATTTTCTAGTTTGCTAGCCCCAGTGCATGTTACACATTGTTTTGCATTCCCCCCCCCTTTCCTTCTTGCATGGACGATGTGCAATAGCTGTTTTATTCATTTATTCTTGGTATCTTTCTGTGCAAATTTCTATATGTACCAGTTTTTAAGGACTAATAATTGGAGTTCTTTGATGGAGAGGCCTATGTTAAATATTTGGTTGGTTCTTGTATTTTTGAGGACATCATTAAAGTCATTGATTTAACTTCATAGATGCTATACTTAGTAAAATAGTCCAAATTTATTTAAATATAAAAATGTAGAACATCAATAGTATGTCCTTTTATCTACAGCTTGAGCTCTATCTTTCATACTCCTGTAGTTTTCTCCAAGTCATATTCTCCAGTTTTGTGACCTATCCTTTTACAATTACCATCTACTTATTCTCCATTGGTCTTTAAATGCAAAGTGATGGGATGAGAGGGATCTAAGTTGTTTTGGTGTCACTAATGAGGAGGGGTTTTTAGGTATCTGAGTTGCTTGCTATTGACTAATCATATTTGTATCTAATTTTTGATAAAACTTGCATGAATACTGAAAATGTAAGTCTGATATTTCCTTTCCTTAAGATCAAATTTTCTATTTCTTGCATCTGTGTAAGATGAACTATTACTATCTGAACTATTATGAGAAATACAAGGTGGCAAGTCTCAATAAACTATGCTTGTTGCACTGAAAGTACCACATGCGTTTTGTATTTATTTAATGCATTTACTACAATCATTTGTTTATTAGCAATTACATATTGTGTGAAGTGATACATAGTTGCTCTTGTATATCATCTATTTTATTCTTATGGTAGTTTTTCCCCTTATTTGTTCTCTGGGCTATGACGATTGCTCTAATGGTTGAGATTTTCATGTTTGCTTCCAAATTTCCTCATTGACTACAAATGCGTTTATGATCTTAGAACTAAGTAATGAATTTTTCGCCCATGCTTCTTCTGTCAGAAAATGCAGAGAAGCCTACATATATCAGGTTTCTTGTCTCCAATGCTGCAGCTGGTTCTGTAATTGGAAAGGGTGGTTCAACAATTACTGAATTTCAGTCTAGACATCAGAGGAGCTTCGAATTTCAGTTGTCACGCAGTCATGAATTTTTCCCTGGTAAATCAAGACAGGATGCAATTATGGTCCCCCTCTGGACCAATTGATGATGTACTCAAAGCAATAGAACTTATCCTTGCAAGATTATTGAATGAGGTGATCTTTTTTTATGACTTTTAACTCTATAAATTCTCTGCATTTCTCAGAATAACTTAAGTTTGTTTTTCTTGGTCAGCTTAATAGTGAAGATAATGATGATGTTGAACGAAGAACGAAAGTGAAGCTAATTGTTCCCAATAGCTCTTGTGGCAGCATAATTGGGAAAGGAGGGGCTATCATAAAGTAAGAATTCTACTTGGATATTCTGATTATTATACACGTTTTTGTTGCTATGGTTTTGAAAATTCACCGGTGAAATATGACTTTTGCAGGCTTGAAATCAAAGAATTTTTTTTTAACTTGAATTTTATGTTTTGTAGTAGTGTTTATAAATTGAAGCATACTGTGCAGGCTTGTTTTATAGAGAACGTGTATTTATTCTTCCATTATGCTGTTCATTTGCTGGGGATAAACTTCGTAAAAATTTTAACCTACAGGTTGATTTGTAGTATATTCAGATAGGCATGAGTGGTGAATGAACTGCGTATTTTAGAATTGGTTCATGTGTGAGAATGTGTAAAACTAGAGTTGTTCTTGACCAACTGAGTTGGGGATGATTCAGCAGCTTCTCATACAAAGAGCCATTTACAATGAATTGGAGAGCTAAGTTGGGGAGACGTGTTGGAAAGGAGAAAATTTTGGCAATAGGAATAAATTTTAGTAAAGATTACCATAGTGATAATTTTGATTACCATAGTAAAGATTACCATGTGGTAAAATTTTGATGCATCATACTAAGTTACTTCTAGGATTGTCTATTCGTAACCTGCTTATACTAAATAGATGGTGATGGCTTTAGGAAATGAATTAGTTCAGGTATATGTGGCAAAATGTGGTACGTTGCTAGTGGTTTCATTTCTAGAAGACCTGTCTGACCAAAGTTCAACCTAGATCATGGTTAAGTCTTATGTGGAATTGACTTGGATCAGAGTGTCATAACGTCTAGATCCGGGGATCTATCGCCAGACATTGACTTTTAGGGAGTCGCCACCAATCTTTTTTATCTAGGTGCGATTGGCCACCTAAGGAATCTGCCCTTTTAGGGAACACCTAAGCTTAAGGGTCCCTAAAAGAATAGGTTCGGGTCTGCTTAACCAGAACAGAGTTCGGGAGTTCGGTTACGTGTGAGGAAGGTTATAGCACCCTCACAACGCCCATCAAAAGATGGTACCAGCTTGAATTTGTGTTATCCAAAAGCCTTAAAATTTTACCAAGTAGTTAGTTGTTGAAAATTATTCTCAATTGACTCTAATACTTTTAGCAGAAAATTGAGAAAATTCCCTCACCTCAAGAGTATGCAAGAAAAACTACTGTTTCACTTGCAGAGGCTCCGTCGTCGGATTAATTAAAGAAAAATCAAGATCAACCAATTAATTAATTATCGAAAATTATTCTCAATTGACTCTAATACTTTTAGCAGAAAATTGAGAAAATTCCCTCACCTCAGGAGTATGCAAGAAAAACTACTGTTTCACTTGCAGAGGCTCCGTCGTCGGATTAATTAAAGAAAAATCAAGATCAACCAATTAATTAATTATCGA